CAATAAATGTACAAATGTGCTTGACACAATGGATGTATGTATGGATTTTGATAAGAGTTGTATGAGACACCAGTGAAATGACTTTAAAAAAGAAAAAAAATTGCATTTTCAACAGGTCCAAGTTCAAGTTAGCCGCCTGCTGACAGGAGGAAAACCACATAAAACCCTTCCTTTCCACTGCCTTGGGATCTGCATACAATTTACAGCCGTGTGATTTTGGTTCAGGGGCAATGACCTGGAATCGTGGTTAACTGGGGCTTATACCAGTTCTAAAAAATATGTCTTTCTGACAAGCTTAGCAAAGAAACTTCAGTCAGAATGTTTACTTATTCCTGACTCTACCCACCACATCAAGCTTGGTAATAATTGTCTTCATTTACAAGGTTTCTACTGCCAATGTCAAGAAAGCTTTATGCTTCTGTTAGCATTCCCATGAGAAAATGTCCTTTCAGGCAATGAAACAAATGGCCTAAGAAATGAGTGGGTAGCAGAAATGAAAATAAGATTTTTGACTCCCCCTACTCATGCTTGGTTTGTTAGACCAAACGGCCTTTCACAGAGCGTCTTTTATTATCTGAGCGTGCATGCAGACCAGACAGACTAGGAGGTTTGTCAAAACATGGTAGATAAACAGAGGGCAGAGGGCTTGTCAAAAACTCAGATCGCAATGCCGCCATCCACGCTAATTAAAATATCAGGACTTAGCACTATTAAGAAGTCCTGTTATTTATTGGGCTGCTAAGTGCAACCAGTTGGAAACCAGCAGTCACTCCTTGGGAGAAAGATGAGGCTTTCTACTCCCATAAAGATTTACAGTCGCAATGGCACTGAATTATGCAGGTGGAAGTTGTAGAATTGGAGATTGTGCTGTTGTGTGTATTTTTTGCTACAATTAGGGGGAAAAATTACATGAATCACAAGAACTACATGGAAGAAAAAAATATTCCAGAATTGAATATGGTGACAATCGTATAACTCTTGATATGATTGGATTATTGAATTGTAAGACATGTGGATATAAAGTGCTAATAAAACTGTTAAAAAAAACTGATTAAAAAATTAGAATTACCGTCTTGGAAACCCACAGGGGCAGTTCCACCCAAATCACGTGTTACATCCTAGAGAGTGTAATTGATCTACGTTCGCACACAGTGAGTTCATGCCAGTTCTCATTTCACTGAGAACAGCTCCGCTTTCATGGCCGTTTACACAATTAGACTTCTAATGTGACGAAGGATGGGCAATAGTTGGGTCAGATGACTCAGACAGA